GGTAAAACTTGGGGTTTGCATATGGCAGCAGCTGTATTAATAGCTATCTAACCTGACAGGCTGCAACGGCTTATTTATATCAGATGTTTCCATGAGAGCAAGAGCTACAGGACTTGGCTGATTTTGACGGAAATTTAAGATCTGCGAGCGAACACAGAGATAATTGAAAATGCATGCTGCTGTCGGTTTTTTCTTACACGTTTTTTTCCCCCTTAAACTTTGGATGTGTCTGTGTGAATGTGTGTGCATTTTCTTCTGCGTTAACCTTTTCGCCACATAAGCTGGAAACATCCACAAGCAGAAACACGGGTTGCTGAAGGTACCTTTTAAATGTATAAACAATCAATGCTGGAAATAAAGAAGACATTTATGTTGGGGTTGTGTACTGGCACCGAGATAGTCAAGGCAAAGGGCTGTCTGTCAGACTTACTCTACTCTCTATATATACGGTTCTGTTGACGCAGACAATACAACTATTGACAATATGCTCATTCACTGAGCTTAAACATTCTTTTAATTCAAACCAACATGTGTTTCTTTATAGCTTTGGTTTATGGAAATCTTTCTTCAGCACTCAACCAGGCCCCAAATCCTGACATTCTGTTTTGGGAGTGGAGCACCTTATCACCTATCAAAATAAAACAGCTGGGTTGAGAGGGTGTTAAATAAGGTGTGAGGCTGGTTCAGGATGTGACACACCAGAACTTGAGTTCCGCTAAGTCTTTGACCTGAAAATGCAGTAAAGTGGACCTGCACCCAGGTATGGGATAAGGTCAGGTTCGAGCTACATTCATAAAAAAGGGAAGGGGAAAAAAGCAGCAGCCCGGCTTTCATGAATGGAGCATTGTGATGTGTGGCAGTCTTGTCGGTAAATGTTTTCAATTGCATTTGATCCTGTAGTGAGGCTGCTAATTGGTGAAGCATGTTTCCCAGGTCAGCATGAGGTTTTGCCCTCCTCATACACACACGTCTGTGTAGATAGCCTTCAGGATGTGTAGCCAAATAGACAGCCATTCAGAAGACTTTCACTGTAAGCTAATCTATGTCAGCTATAGGTTGGACATTGCCTTTCAGGGGTAAGTGTTATTCACTGAAATAGATTCTGCAACATGGAGTTAACATGAAGAGCAGGTCAGGTGAGTTGTGTTATATGGGTTTTTGTTTACAGAATACTGCCAGTTAAATCAATCCATGTACCTAAAACTTTCCTAATCAGCGGTCTTCATTATCTGAGCCCTTCAGGTGTTTTCCTGAAAGGGTAAACGCACAGATGTAGCGGATCACTGCTTCAGTATTCCTTCTCTGAAAAAGCACACATTGCACAGCTGTATCCATCTACCGCCAGGAAGGACTGAGTTACTAATATTCTTGTGATAAGTGCTCTAATAACCCCCCAGATAAACATATTAATGGACTTGTGAATAATATAAGTTTAAAGACTGCCTTAAACTAGGATTTCAATAAGGTATGTTGTAAGGTCCAGCCTTACCCGCAGCTCTATACCTCCATCGTGTGGTTTCACGATGAATAACATCCAAACATGACATTTTCAACTTTCTAAAATCAGCATTTACTCTAGCTAAGACCAATATTAATACTGCTTTAATCAGTACTACTGTCATGGTGCAATTTAAATTTGTTGCATTTACATTTTCATACCACCGCTATGCTGATGACACTCAACTCATCCTCTCTTTTCCTCCCTCTGACGATAATTTTTCTGCTCTGATTTCAGCATGTCTGGCAGGCATCTCATCATAGATGGCTGCTCACCAGCTGTAACTAATCCCAGCAGGACTGAGCTGTGGATATCCCTGGAGATGCATCTCCATGTCAAGATCTTGTGATCTCTCAGGACAACCTTCAATTAACCCCAAATGACAGTGCACTTAACCTTGGGGTAGTTCTGGACAACCAACTATCCTTCTCCTGCTACACTATCTCAAGGATCCAGCCTTTCTTGTCCATAGAGGCCACTCAGGTGCTTATTCAGTCCCTTGTCATCTCAAGACTGGACCTACAGCAACTCGCTCCTGGCAGGTCTGCCTCTGCACACCATCTGACTCTTGCAGCTGCTCCAGAATGCAGCTACTACGGAAGACTTGTTTTCAACCTTCCCATTCTCCTCCCATGCCACCCCATTTCTGGATTCCCTCCACTGGCTTCCTGTAGCTGCCCACATCAGATTTAAAACACTTATGCTTGCCTACAAAGCTAAAATGCACCGGCACCCACCTACATTAAGGCATTTATCACATCACACTATGTACCACCCTTTCTAGTATGGCTAGTACATCTAGTATGAGGATATGTTTTTGATTAGACACTACAAGACAGTTCTGTAAGTTGCTCTGAATAAGAGTGTCTGCTAAATTCTATAAATGTAAAGTCTGCAGTATTAAGGGATATACTAAGATTCACAAGATGTGAATTCTAGCCCATACAGAAACACACAAAGGGTGCCTTGCTGTGGCAATTATAAATTCCCACATAGTGCACGAAGAGCCATCATCCTTCCACCCATTTTCCATACCGCTTATCCTACACAGGGTCTCAGGGGAGCCTGGACCCCATCCTAGGGAACTCGGGGCACAAGGCAGGGGACATCCTGGACGGGGTGCCAATCCTTCACACCGTACAAGCGCACACACTCTACGGGCAATTTGGAAATTCCCTTCATCCTACGACGCATGTCTTTGGACTGGGGGGAAGAAACTGGAGTACCCAGAGGAAACTCCCAAAGCATGGAGAGAACATGCAAACTCCACACGCCCAGGGCGGAGGCGGGAATCGAACCCCCAACCCTGGAGGTGCGAGGCAAACATGCTAACCACAAACTATTGGCAGTATATATACACACCAATAGCAGTATGGATTTCAACACGATACTGTGATACAAATGAGCAACCTGTGCCTACTACCTGCTGCTTAAAACTAAGATGAACTTAGGTCAGGATCCCAGTAAATTATGACTCTTGAAAATTAATTGTTTTCTGTTATGACAGACGCTTAATTTAGTTACTGCTATATGCTCTTAGTGATAACAGTTCAGACTTATACTTAAACTTCCTTACTGTGTCCAAGTTTAAAATGTAAATTGGTAACCAAGATGGCTTCTGCAGCTTGTTTTTCCAGTTTGTTCTTACTGTGTCCTGGTGAGCCACGCATGCCTTTCAACATACAGTACAGTTAAAATGTTTCAAGATGCTTACTTGTCATTGTTTAATTAGAAGGTGAATGGCCAGGCATGATTCTTCTGCATCCTTCTCCTGCATGGCCTCGGCGATAAAAAGTTTTGAATGTTTTTCATGTTACCTAACCAAGATACATGCTTGGCAAAATCACTTTTCCCATACGTTTGTGGTTCCATGGGACATTCAAGTGTGTTCAGTGTGTTCAAGCCACCAGTGAAACCAAGCAGTTGACCTAAACTCCATATTCCCTACTTACACTGCCAGTCAAAACTTTTTTGAACAACTGAAGGTTCTTATGTTTTATTACACCGAACACTTTATTAGGAACACTATACTAATACTGCGTAGCGCCTCCCTTTGTTCTCAAAACAGCCTCAATTCTTCATGGAATGAAGTCCACAAGATGTTGGAAACATTGCTTTGAGATTCTGGTCCATGTTGACATGAGTACATCACGAAATTCCTGCAGTTTTTTTAGGTGCACTTTCATGCTGTGAATCTCCCATTCTACCACATCCTAAAGGTGTTCTATTGGATTCAGAGCCAGTGACTGGGAAGGCCACATTGAATTGCAGAACATTGAACTCATTGTAATGTTCATGAAACCAGTTTGAGATGACTTTTGCTTTGTAACATGGTTCATTATCATGCTGGAAGTAGCCATTAGAAGATGGGTAAATTGTGGCCATGAAGGAATGCACATGGTCAGCAATAATACTCAAATAGGCTGTGGTGTTCAAGTGATGATTGATTAGTATTAACGGGCCCAAAGTGTACCAAGAAAACATTCCCCACACCACCAGCCAACATTACACCACCTCCACCAGCCTGGACTGTTGACACAAGGCAGTTTGGGTCCATGGATTCATGCTGTTGGCACCAAATTATGACCTTACCATCTGTATGGCTCAGCAGAAATTGAGATTCATCAGACCAGGCTACATTTTTCTGGTCTTCAACTGTCCAGTTTTGGTGAGCCAGTGCCCACTGTGGCCTCAGCCTTCTGTTCTTGGCTGACAGAAGTGGAACCCAAAGTGGTCTTCTGCTGTTGTGGCCCATCTGCCTCAAGGTTCGATGTGCTGTGCATTCTGAGATGCTTTTCTGCTCACCTGTACAGAATGGTTATCTGAGTTACTGTAGCTGTTCTGTCAGCTTGAACCAGTGTGACCATTCTCTGTTAACCTCTCTCATCAACAAGGAGTTTTTGTCTGCAGAACTGTCTCTCACTGGATGTTTTTCTTTATTGCACCATTCTGAGCAGACTCTAGAGACTGTTGTGCATGAAAATCCCAAGAGATCAGCAGTTATAGAAACACTCAAACAAAACTCATCTGGCACCAGCAATCATGCCACAGTCAAAATCACTGAGATTACATTTTTCCCCATTCTGATGGTTGACATGAACATTACCCGAAGCTGCTGGCCCATATCTGCATGATTTTATGCATTTCATTGCTGCCACAGGATTGGCTGATTAGGTAACTGCATGAATGAGTAGGTGTACAGGTGTTCCTAATAAAGTGTAGTTTAATCACTATTAAACTGTGACTCTAAATAAGTGTATTATTAAAGGCAGTCGCACTTAGAGGGTAAACCTGTTGAGCTTAACATGGCCAAGAACCTCCTACTTTCACAGAAAGAGACTGACATGAAAGATGGCCAACCACATACCTTCTCCCTTAGCCTGTTGATAAATATGTGAGATCATCTTGTTAACTCACCACTACCTACTTCACATAAAATGCTTTGTTTTGCATTTGGAAACAAGTGCACAAAAGTGTATATACATGGAATTATGTATAGGTGTCCCTGGTGGTCTAGTGGCTCAGGATCCCATGCTCTCGCCACTGCCCGGGTTCAATTCCCGGGCAGGGAACCAACCCAGCCACTGGGAGTGTACTCTCAGTGCCGGTCCCAAGCCCGGATAAAATGTGAGGGTTGCGTCAGGAAGGGCATCTGGCATAAAACCTGTGGCAAATCAAATATGCAGACCAATGATCTGCTGTGGCGACCCCTAATGGGAGCAGCCAAAAGAACAACAACAACATGGAAGTGTGTATACATGGAAATGTGGAGCGCCAATCAGATTACATAGAGACCTGAGGGCCAGAAATTTGTACAAAAATTTCTTCAGACACTTCTTGTCCCATTGGCAGAGCATGTGAGACAGAAAGTAGAACAGGACCCTGCATTTCCTTACCCATACCATCTTTCTGTCATCCTAGATGTGCCAGCTGATGTTTCTTATACTTTTGTACTAGTAAATAAATAGATCCTTAATTTTGATCTTGGTTTGAGGATGTTTAGTGCAGCTTCATGGCTGGAAAACAGGTCAGCACTGCTGGTTCATTATTTCAACTGATGCTTCTGTGTGCTGTCCATATTTAGAGTCATCCTATCCACATGGAGCCCATTTTTGCTTTTACATTCAGGACTCTGATGTCTACTGAGGTAAATACTCAGTGGTTAAAAAGAACTACATAGATTATCAGATGTTAACCACTTTTCACACTACCAATGGACTTGCTATAAGACTCAGTGTATGGTGGGCAGTGCGACTGCTGTACTTTAGTTATGTAGCTGCAACACACAGCTGACCTCCTTTACTACTCACTCTTGCCTGCTACTGATAAGGACAATTCTGATACTGAATCCAAGTCTGTCTAGTGCTTGGACAGCTCTGTGAATCCTGTGAGTTCACATCTGCCACTGCACCTTGCACCAAATCATTCTACTGCTGCAGTGGCCAAGCTTTTGCTCTCTGCATTAGATCAGGAGTGTCCAGTAACTCCTGCTTGAATGGAATGAAAACCTGCACTCACACCGACCCTTTGCGGATAAGATTGGACACCCCTGCATTAGACCAAGGCTCAGGTCTCATTATTTTAGTTAGCCATACCTGGCAAACATCAACAGAGGGATAGTGAAAATGAAACAATAGCATCATGAGCAGTTCTGGTGGCCAGACATGGTTAAGGCTCATAAAGCTCAGTCAGTCTGCTATCCTACAAGAGCAACTATCGAAAGTGACAAACTGTCTTGATACACTATGCAACACTTTTTTGATACGCTATGCACATTATACCCTCAGTGTCTGCATTGCACGCAGTGTCTTTCCTCCTCCACTTGCCTGCAAGGAAGCTGACAAATGCTGTTGTAAAGTCTCATCAATTATTAATAATTTCTGCACTATCTGTGTTGTCCAGAAATTGCAACAAGTTTTACCATATAAAGCCTAGCACTTGAGCATCAGTCATTTAAAATTAATGATGATTTAAATGCATGTTTACGTTTAATGCAAATAAGGTCAATCACATTTTTTTCTTCTCAGTTTTAGCCTGTGATCAGTCCTACAAAATAGACATTTCTGAAGCAAATTATATTATTGTCTCAGATTATTATTATTATTTGTTTTCTTTGTAAAGTTATAATAGATATTCAGGGGAATTGTAAGAAGCAAGCAAATCTTCTTGTTTTTTTTTCCTGTTTTGGTAGGGAAACACCTGGCATCAGCTTCTTGTAGGCATTGAGGAATTTGTATGTTCCTTGAAATACAGTAAATAGATCTTCAGAACTATACAGAGCTGTATGTTTGTGCTGTGTCAAAGTACTGCGCCAATCTTTGTTAATACACAAGTCAAATTTAGCACTGAAGTGCTTAGTTTGGGTTACTGTCTGTGTTCAATTTTCGTGCATGTTCTGTGCACGTTTTGCTTGAGTCCACTTGTGTCCACAGTTTTCTTCCGGGTTCTCTGGTGTTCCTCCCCAAAAATGTGCCAGTAGGTGAATAAAGTGTCCAAGGGTGTAAACAAATATGCGTGTATGAATGGTGCAATGGACTGGGATCCACCGTGACCCTTGTCTCTTCTCAGGATCAAACCAGGGAGCCTGAAGCTGTGAGGCGGCAATGCTATTCACTTCACCCCTTAAATAAACTTGTAATAAAATAATACAATGTTGAGTAGATACCTAGTTAACATTACTAGCTAATGTTTTATGTTATGCATAGCTAGACATGTGAACCTCACCTGTTATACTGTTGCCCTTGATTACAGTCTAGATGCAGGCTTATGATAATCTAGCTCATCTCTAAGAGCACCTAGTTTTGATGGATGTGGTTATAATTTGTATTAATAATTTCTATTTAAGTAGCTACCACAATCTATATGGACTTTACAGCTGGTGGAGATTTATCCCTATCATGAACCCTACCATGTAACTTATAAAATGACTTATCAGCCTCTACTGTATAACTAGTGCCAGTGCATTCTGTTAGAAGACATTTTAGTGTTGTTAAGGGCATAGTCATTGATTTGATGTAAATTATCTGGTTTGAAACCAAATTCAATACCCACTAAATCCAGGCCCCGAAACATACACTGCTTTTACTGGAATGTCTGAATGCTGCACTCACTTTTTTTTTTTTCATGTGAACAGGCTCTGAGGCGGCCACACAGACCAGCATTTTTCCTTTGATCAGATTTTATTTACAGCTGCCAAATTTATGTGTTCCTCTTTGGTGTTAGAAGCATGCCATTAGAACTTTGAAATTTATACAAAAATCAGAATTTAAATGTTACTATTCTGAATATTTTGAACATCTGAAATTGAATTTTGAGGTGAAATTGAATTTACTGGTTTGCAAAAAAAAAAAAAAATCTAAAATCTGAAACTGAAAAGATTAAATTGAAATTTTGAAAGTGAATTTATAAATGTGAATTCATAGAGACACGGAATGCTTTCAGAAATTATAAGCATACATCATTTTGAATTTCTGTCAATCACAAACTCAAATTTCAAATTTTAGCTCTTTTGCAAACCCTGAAATTCAATTTCAGATCAAAAGTCTATTACAGATGGTATGATACAAATAAAATAATAATAATAATAAAATTCAAATTCTGATTTTTTTCATTTAAATTAAAATTTCTAATGACATGATTCTAGTTCCATTGTGGGAGGGTGGGGTGTTTGAAATCTGATATTTATTTATTTATTTTTTGGCAGATTATGTTGCATGAAAGGATCTTCCTGTGTATCTACTGTAACACTAATGTAACTACATAGAGCATCATTTACTTTTAATAAAGTATTATTTATTTATATTTTATAAGTATCCTAATTTCAATAATATTAGCAGACCAGGGTAAAGTTTTGGATTTGGTTTCAAAACTATAAGCTGTACCTTTAACAAGCATGCATTGCAACTAGTTATACACTAGAGGGCGACAGGTCATTTTATAAATTACATGGTAGGGTTTATGCAAGGGCCAATACAGTCGAGATGATGAGGAAATGCAGTAAGCATTCCTCAAAAGATAAAGACCATATAAAGCAGCACATTCCAAATACTACACCATATGCAATCACTTTTATCAATTTCAGTTTTCGTCACTATAATGGACCCAATGACTTCCCCATATTTCCCTGGCTATTTCTCTATATAGTTAAATTTATAATATCTTCAATAACCTCTTTATCCTGGTCAGGCGGGTGCAAGGCAACGATACACCTTTGATGACATGCCAGTCCATCATAGGGCACCATGCACAACCACAGATTCCTATCTAAAGCAATTTAGAGTACCCTTTACACCATCATGTTTTTGGGAGGTGAGAGAAAAATGGAGAACCTGGAGGAAACACAGTGACATTGAGAGAACATCTGAAACTCCATACAGAGAGTAACCCTAGCTCAGGATCAAACCAGCAACCCTGGAGCTGTGAGGTGGTGATGTGCACCATCATGCCACCCATTCATTTATACTAGCTCATGATAAGCATTCCCAGCTTTTATCAGTCAAAATTAATCACACATGAACCTCATGATGATCTTATGCCTCGCAATTATAGGCAATGTGTATTACCTGTATATGACAACTGAAGACTTCTGGTGTTTTTATTGGACTCAAGGATAAGTGGTGTGTATAAAAATAATTAAACTTTCTGTGAAGGATTGCTTTTATTGATTACGTATCAATGCCAGAATAATCCACTGGAGCTTTAGACATTGGAGTTGGAGTCAGTCATGCAGCAAGGCATCATAACAAATCCCTTTTTGAAGAAAGGAAAAGTGTAGTATTTTTTATTTAATTTAGAGAAAGAAAGAGTGTGATATTTTAACTCCGACAGCTGCGATGCCACAAAAGTCAATGAAAGTTGTGTTTTAGAAATGTGAATGGCAAGAACTCCAGAGATTATTATTATAACTGTAATTATTATAAATGATAATTCTAACTAAACAAACAATAAAATGGATTCACATCTTAGTGAAACTATTGTAGGAAAATCCTCCAGCCTCACTAAAATTGATCAAGTCCTGACAATTCCATTCCTGAAATACTGGCTAGGTAAGAAACAGAAGTGTTTTCAGGCATGAACCTGCATGACTTTTGATATATGAGATAAATAGGTTTCTCTTCATTTTGGCACTTTGTGTGGTCCATACGATCCCTCCTCTTAGCCCTGATGTGAACAAAAACAAAAGTAAACATGAGAAACATGAAGTGAGTTGCATTTGAAAATACATTTAATAGACCATTTTCTACAAAAAAAAAATGGCCATGGACTTAATTTCATTAGAATTGCAGACAGCATGCCAACACTAAGCATTAAACACTCAATGTGCACTTTGTACAGGTACTGACTGTAGCTATGCACAGTTTGTCGGCCCCTCTTTACTTTCTCCATTACAGGACCACCACTAAGCAGGTATTATTTGGGTGATGGACCTTTCTTAGCAACGAGAATGACCAGTGCTGAGTAGTCTGTGTGTGGTTCTGGAATGAATGTAGCACATACAGCAGCGTTCCTGGCTTTTAAGCACTGTGTACACTAACTGACACTTTACTAGCTAATAATTAGGAACTATAACTAA